AAAGAAAATTGGCCCCCCCCCCCCCCCCCCTCCGGTTCTTCCATTCCACACACGTCACCGCCCCCACCCCTCCTGCACGCACATACGCTCCACAGGTCCTCCTACCGCGCGCTGTCCGTACTCGCCGTGACACCAAGCAAAGCTGGTGCCAGCACTGGCAGTCGGGGGGGCGCCAGCGACGTTAGCGGCAGCGGCGGCGCCAGCGCAGGCGGCGGCGGTGGCAAGAGGCGGCGTGTGGTGTTGATCGAGGAGCTGCCCGAGGTGTACGGGGAAGAGAAGAAGGCGCGGCTGAGGAGCCTGATGGCGGAGTGCGCTCGCTCGAGCCCCTCCCCCGTGATCATCTGCTGGAGCCAGGTAGGCTACCGTTGCAAGTAGCCCCTTGTTTTTTGTCTTTGTAGTTGGTTGTGTGTGTGTGTGGCGGGGGTGTACTCATGTAGACGCATGCCGTAGTCGTTAGAGCATTGGCCTCCTCGCATCCATGCAATGCCGGGACGGAGCGATATGCCGGGTTTTCGCCGGTCCAGGTTTCGATTCACAAGGATGAAGCTCAAGCTGGTCATCATCCTCGCATTTGCTGTGCCAAACCAGATCTGCCTTGGGTTGATTGGGAAACGAAGCTGCCTGTGTTTGGTGATGACTCATGTCGTGGTATGGCGTTGTTTGATGGCGTGCGCGTTTTCTCATTAGTAGCCCCGCCCGGCTTATTTTGTGTGTCGGCAGGCTTCAGAGTCGGCGTCTTACCAGTCTAGGCTGGAGCAGGTACTCTCCCGCGAGACGCTCAGGATGCCCGGGGTGCAGATCACCACGTGCAACCCCATCAATGCCAGTGAGTGCGTCCAGCAGAGATCATGCATCGATACACTAGTACCATTGTGTTGACTTGACCCAACGGGTACCAGTATGTTGGCTCTGACTGATTGTAGCGTCAGGGGCGTGTTTCTGGTGGTACTGTTCTGGTGTTGGTTGTATTAGCTACTTGGCGCCGCTTTTTCTATGCATACCCCCCCCCCCCAGTCAAACGCCTGTCCTAGTCACCACAACTCCTCCGTTCTGCCACGGCCTCCGAGCGCGAGCGCGGGAAGGGTGCGGGTGGTGTTGTCAATGTGTCTCGTCGAACCGTAACCATCCGCGCTTGGCTTTCCGAACCGGAACTTCGAAAAAGTAACTGACGAACCGAGCGTTGTAGAACGCCAGTGGGCACTGAAAGCACAGCAACTGTTTTGGCATTGTCGTTGGTTGCGAGTGCTTCGATGTACGCGAGTGCTTCGATGTACGCGTGTTTATTTTGACGAAGATCTAGGTGCTAAATAGCTCACGGTGAAGTAATTGCTTACGGCGTGCGACGGCCTATCTATGATGTACCCGACGAAGGGACACACGGGGCGGACATGAATGTAAATTCTGCAGAAGGTTTACTTCGGCAGCCTGTTGCTACTATACAGGGGAAAGAGACACATGTTCGGGACTTTCCTATGCAAAACCCCGACCCTTTTACGCGTTGATAGGGGTTGGCCCGGGGAATCCCACCGTGCCAGCACTACGGCAGTCAGTCTTTGATTGTGTTGGAGACGCATGTGCTCTGTTGTGTGTGTTCCTTTCATGCTCGTTTGCCATTCCATCATCGTCCCCGTCCCTATAATAGCAGTAGCTGCGCACCGTGCGTGGTCTCGTCTTTCTTTGATAAAGCGCTCCTTTACAATAATTGAGCGCAGAGGAAGTACTCCTAGTGGCGCATGCCCTGGACGTTAGCAGCGCGACAAGGGCTTTAGGCACGCTCTTTTATTTTCCGTGGCCTCGTTGGTGCTGAATCAAAGCACGCTCCGGTGCCGTCCTGTCTGTTGTCCCCCGTCTTCTGCTTCCTTAGCGCTTCTGCGGCAGCATCTGAAGGGAGTTCTGGCACTGGAAGGCGTGTCGGACCCCAAGGGAACGCTTGTGCAGAGCGCCATCACCACTTGTGCAGGTTTGTGTCGTGACCGTGCATCTTGCCGAACACTTCTTTCAGGCCCGACAGGTGGGGGGGGGGGGGGGGGGGGGGTTCCCCCCCAAAATCCCCCTCTTGGGCCAAAACCCACCCCAACAAAGGGGGGGTTGTCTTTTTTTTTTGTCCTTTTTTTTTTTTTTTTTTTTTTTTTTTTTGGGGGGGTTTTTTTTTTTTTTTTTTTTTTTCCCGGGGGGGGGGGGGGGGGGGAAGGGGGTTTTTTTTTTTTTTTAAGGGGGGCCGGGAAAAAACACAAAAACGGGGGGGGTTCGGTTTCACCCCCCCGGGGCCCCAAAAAAAAAAAAAAGGGGGGGGCCTTTTTCCCCCAAAGACCCCCCCCTCCCGAAGAACCCTTTTTGGGGGGCCCAAAAGGGGGGGGGGGAAACCCAACACCCTTGGGGCCCCCGGGGGAATATAAAATAAAACATCCCCATTTCCCCCCCCGGCTTTTCCCCCCCCCAAAGTTTTTGCCCCCCC